GGAAGGAAGGAAGGAAAAGGGAAGGAGAATGAGAATGAGAGATGGGAGGCAGATGGGGAGAAGGAAGGAAGGAAGGAAGGAAGGAAAAGGGAAGGAGAATGAGAATGAGAGATGGGAGGCAGATGGGGAGAAGGAAGGAAGGAAGGAAAGAAGGAAGGAAGGAAGGAAGGAAGGAAGGAAAAGGGAAGGAAAATGAGAATGAAACTGAGAAATGGGAGGCAGATGGGGAGAAGGAAAGAAGGAAGGAAGGAAGGAAAAGGAAAGGAAATGAGAATGGGAGGCAGATGGGGAGAAGGAAGGAAGGATGGAAGGAAGGAAGGAAAGGAAGGAAAAGGGAATGAGAATGAGAGATGGGAGGCGGATGGGGAGGAAAAAAGAAGGAAGGAAAGGAAGAAAGGAGGGAAGGAACGAAGGAAGGAAAAGGGAAGGAAAATGAGAATGAAACAGAGATGGGAGTCAGATGGGGAGAAGGAAGGAAGGAAAGCAAAGGAAAGGGAAGGAATGAAGGAAGAAAGGAAGGAAAAGAGAATGAGACTGAGAAATGGGAGACAGATGGAGAGAAGGAAGGAAGGAAAAGAAGGAAGGATTTCCAATATTCCTTGCCAGATTCTCACAAGGAAACAAGGAACGGGGGGAAAAAAAGTTGGCTTGTAATCTTATCTAATCCTGTTCTCAGATCATCCATGCTGGAGACCATATCTTGGAGCAGTGAGTTCCACAGGTATGTCTCTACACATTCCCTTTTGGTACAGCCAGATACTGTATTTGCACCAGAGGAGAAGACGGGTGGGCTCTCTGCAGGGAGGGGGGAAGAGGGGAGGCCGGGGTCATTAATCTCGGGGCAGGGGGTTCCTGTCTGCCTGCCCACCTGTCTCCCCTCTCGTGGAAGGGCCGGGAGGACCCCCAACTGACACATGACCCCAGCTGCCCAAACCCATTGGTTCCAGGGGAGAACAAAGGTGCTTGGGGGAATCCCTCCTTCTTCTCCTCAATCTTGGATCTTGGGAAGATTTCCTCCAAAGACAGCTGTGAAATTTGTCTCAGGAGGAGCTGAATTAGCCAGAATCCATTTCATTCTCCAATTCCCCTGTTCTGTATTCTATTTGTTCTCCTATTCTTTTCTTTTCTATTCTATTCTATTCTATTCTATTTCTATTCTATTTTCTATTCTTATTCCATTCCATTTCATTCCATTCTATTCTATTCATGTTCTGTTCTGTTCTATTCCATTCCATTCCATTCCATTTCTATTCTATTTTCTATTCTTATTCCATTCCATTCCTATTATCTATTTTATTCTATTCTATTCTATTCCATTCCATTCTATTCCTGTTCTGTTCTNCTTATTATGTGTTCTATAAGGTTATTTTACTCCATTTGGTTTGATGTTATATCTGTTTTTTTTGCACTTTTGCAGGCTGCTCAGTGTCCATTGGAATTGGGCAGCCAACGAAGTCAAATAGATAAACAATTGCATTTTTTGTACCCATGGCTGAACGACAGGAAACCGACTTTCTGTACATGGTCCAGAATCCCCCTTTCCTCTCCATTAATTCTCACTTCTGCTAGTCCGTTTTAGGATGTCCCCAAGCCAGGGACAGAAGGCCAAAGAAGCAGAGGCAAAATAAGGATAGTTTTGTTATTATGGTTAGTTACAGTTAGCCTGTTGACTGGGAAGGGAGGGAGGGAGGGAGGAAGGAGAGAAAAGGGAAGGATGGAAGATAAATAGAGAGAGAAAAAAGGGAGAAAGAGAAAAGAAAAAGAGAGAGATAATAAGAGAGAAGGAGGAAGGGAAGACAACTAGAGACAGAGAAAAGGGGGAGAGAGAAAAAACAAAAAGAGAGAAAGAGGGAGGGTGGAGAAATAGAGACAAAGAAAAAGAAAGTGTGAAAGAGAGAAAGGGAGGAAAGAAGAGAGGGAGGAAGGAACGGAGGGAGGGTGGAAGGAAGGAAAATGAGACAAGGGTAGGATAGAGGAGAAATAGAGATAGAAAAAAGGGAGAAAAGGGGAGAGTGATAGCGAAAGAAAGGAGGAGAGAGGGAAGAAACCTAGAGAGAGAGAAATAAAAAAAAACAAAAAGAAAGAAAGAGGAAGGGAGGATGGCGAAATAAAGACAGAGAAAAAGAAAGTGTGAAAGAGAGAAAGGGAGGGAAGAAGAGAGGGAGGGAGGGCAGAAGGAAGGAAAGGAAAATGAGACAAGGGAAGAATAGAGGAGAAATAGAAAAAGGGAGAAAAAAGTGAGAGTGGTAGCGAAAAGAAAGGAGGAAAGAAAACTAGAGAGAGAAAAAGTGGAGAAAGAAAAAGAAAAAACAAAGAGGAAGAAAGAGGAAAGGAGGGTGGAGAAACAGAGACGGAGAAAAGGAAAGGGAGGAAGAGAGGGAGGGAGAGAGGAGGAGAGGAAGGAAGGAAAACGAGAAAAGGGAAGAATACAGAACTAGAGATAGAAAAAAAGGAGAAAAAAGTGAGAGTGACAGCGAAAGGAAGGAAGAGGCAGGGAAGAAAAAGAAAACAAAAAGAGAGAGAAAGAGGAAGGGAGGAGAAAGAGAGACAGAGAAAAATGAGAAAGAAAAAAAGGGAGAATAGGAAAGAGAGGGAGGGAGAAGGAAGGAAGGAAGAAGAGAAGGACCAAATGCCCATCATATCGGCAACTCCTGGGTGGGGGGCTTATTCTAAGGGCCAGGTGCAGAACTAGAACTCTAAAGATGCAGGTTCGAATCCCCCCCAGCCGCCAAGCTCCTTAGGGCTGGGGAGGGGCAGCTGGGAGCCAGTTCCTCTCTTCCAGCCCCCCATCTCCCACCCCACCGCTTCGCGGGGCTGTCACTGGGGAAAACTGGAAGCAAGCAGGCTACCCTTCCAGCCGCGAAAGCCAAGCGAGCCAAAAGCAGCCCCCGAGGCATGCACAGAGCGCGCCACTCACCCCTTTGCGCTGGTTGCTCAGGCAGAAGGTGCAGATGCTGCGCGGGGGCGGCCCGCCCGCGCCCCCTTCGCCCTTGGCCCCGCGGAGGGCTCGGAAGCAAGGCTGCCCGTCCTGGCAGCCGTCGCCCAGCAGCAGCACGTTGGCCAGGTGCGAGATGTAGCTGGAAGCCAGGCGGAGGGTCTCGATCTTGGAGAGCTTGCGGTCCACCGGCTCGGTGGGGATGAGGGTGCGCAGGGCGGTGAAGGCCGTGTTGACGCTCTGGGTGCGGTCGCGCTCGCGGGCGTTGGCCGCCTGCCGCTGCTTCACCACCACGACCGGCCGCCCGCTCTTGCGACGGCTCTCGCAGCAGCCGTAGGAGCGATCCGAGGCGTCGCTCTCGCTCCGGGTCTCCTCCTCCTCGTCCTCCTCCGACAGCAGGCGCAGCTCCGGGTACAGCACGTGGGCGGCCACCGGGCCCAGCACGGTGAAGGCCATGGCTGGACTGAGCCCCCCCCCCACCCCCGAAAAAGGGCGTCCGAACCGCAGCAGGACGCAACAGAGAGAACCGATGCTCCGCACGCCGAGCCAGCAGTGCGGGGATCCGCGGACCTCCCTCGGTATTTATAGCGGTGGGCGGAGTCGGGAGCCCGGCCTAGAATCCCAACCGGCCAATGGGCAGCTCCGGCATCCTCCCGGCAGGCCAATAAGGAGGCGCCGATGCTGCGGTCTCGGAAATTGAAAAACCTCGCTTGCAGTTGAGTCGGAGCTGGGGCGGCGCACGTGGCGGGTGACTTTGACAGGCGCGCCCGGGCGAGACAGATGGACAGGGTTGGAAGGGACCTTGGAGGTCATCTAGTCCAACCCCCCAACTTCCCCAAGCAGGAGACCCTACACCGTTTCTGACAGATGGCAGCCCAGGCTCTTCTTGAGAGCCTCCAGGGATGAAGCTCCCACAACTTCCGAAGGCGACTTCTGTTCCATGGGTTGATGGTTCTCACGGTCAGAAAATTCCTCCTTATTTCCAGGTTGAACCTCTCCTTGGTCAGTTTCCATCCATTATTTTATTCTTCCTTGTCTGGCCTTCAGGTGCCTTGTAAAACAGCCTTGACCCCCTTCCTCTCTTTGGCAGCCCCATAAATATTGGAAGGCTGCTATCCCGTCTCCCCTGGTCCTTGTCTTCCCTAGACTAGCCAGGCCTCTTAGAGCAGAAGGAAGACCCAGAGCGTTCTGCTTTGACACTGTTTTCCTTGGCTTGCTGCCTTCTCACCGAGGGCTCAGCTCACGGGGCTGGAAGAGAGAAGCCGAGAAGCCCGAGGTGAGAAGAGGGAGGAGAGGAGAACGCAATTCCTCCTCCGGCAAAATTGCAGACAGGAAAGGAAACCTCAGAGCAATAACTCATCCGTGTCAGGAAGCCAGAATGGGGCAAAACCTCCCCTTGAGTGCTGGCTGCAGGAGATGAGTTGACCTCTTGACAGGAGCCGGTGGGTTTCTGCTCGGTGCAGGCTGGGATGGATCCGGTGAAACCCAAGTGGATTTCCCTTCCCTTCCCTTGCAAGGAAATCATTCGTTTTTTTCCCCAGGGCTGGCAAAAAAAAAAGAAGAAGAAGAAGAAAGGGAAAGGAGGGGCAGGGAAAGAATAAAATAAAATAAAATGAGACCCTCAAAGTCAAACTTTTCTTTCCTTTTATTCATAAACCTTTTGAATGCAGTGCATTGTTGGGGTGTCTCATTCGCAAGAGAAAAATGAGGAAAAGTTAGAGAGAAATGTTAACACACACACACACTGGTAACAATAGTAGTAATGTGAGAGTCGTTTTACCTAAATTTCTCTTTTATATTGACTTATCTGCACTGTTGATTATATTAGCATATTTATATTTATAAATTATCTTGATATTTAATTTGGTTCACCGACAAAAGGGCGACCGACAAAACCGCGACCGACTAAACCGGGGTGACAAAACCGCGAGTTCTAAACCGCGCCGACGAATGAGCGCTGAATCGCGCCGACAATAGCGCAGCGACAGAAGCGCGCTGTAAACCTAAACCTAACCCTAAACCTAACCCTAAACGTAACGCTAACCCTAACCCTAAATGCAAAGCTAATCCTAACCCTAATCCTAAACCTAAACTTAACCCTTACCTTAACTGAAATCCTCCCTTCTGTCAATGCTCTGTTGTCGGCGCGCTGTTGTCGGCGCTTTGATGATGTCACAATTTTAGCGATGCGGTTTTGTTGGTGGATAAAAATAATTCCCTCTTTCACCCCTGGGGTGGGGTGGGAGGATGATGGGGTCTCACCTGCCGTTTCTAAAGTGGAAACCTCTAAGCAAGCAGCAGGGAGAGACACCCCCCCCCCAGTTCTCTTGGCGTGCTGGGTTGAAAGAAGGGTGGGTGGGTTGGTATTGGCCCCCTCCCCCCCGGAGTCCTGATGGAGTCCAGGCAGATGTCCCGAGGATACACACGTTCATTTTGACCGAGAGTTTAAACAGTTGTGCTGCAAGCCAGTGTATCCAGAGGTGTGTGTGTGTGTGTGTGTGTGTGATAGAAGTGGGGTGCGTTGAGATGAGGAGGATGATAACTTTGGGGTCCTTGGTGCCTTCTGAGCTTGGTGATTTTCTTTCATTACCAAAATAAGTAACATCATTAGAGTTAGGCAATATCATCAGAGCACTGATGATGTTATCTAGTCTGGTCATGAAACGTCTTCAACAAAAATCACCAAGCTCAGAGAACACCAAGGACCCCACAGTCTTTCTCCTCCTCCTCCTCCTCCTCCTCCTCCTCCTCC